ATCTGCACAATTTTTCTGATGTTTTCCAATTTATTAGGTTTTAATTGATTAAGTAGATAATTAGTTAGGTCGTGTTAAAAAAACCCCGACATCTACACTATTTAAATGGGAAACTCCTGTTTCGATATAATAATATTCACTATCGTGCCGCAGCTATATTTTATATTTTTTATTTCGTGGCGGAATGATTGATGTTGTAAAATTAGTGGTAACTGTAAGACAGTAGTTACGAACTATTTCAAAATTAAAGGCCGTTAAAAATTCTAGACACATTAACATTGCCACCCGAGAGTGTCGCTCAATGATACCTACCTATTAATATAATTGGTTTTATTTTTTACTACAATCGCACCTCCCGCACTACAGATTACAATGTTGTGTCTATTTTCGTTATCTCACCACTGCCTGTGCTGCGGCCGCACCGATTGTAGTGACTGTACAATGACAAATTCCCATATTATAATATTTTATTGGCATAAAGAATATAATATTCTGATATTGATGGTCAGATATTGAAAACAATAATATAACATAATATAAACATTAGCACTTAATACATAATATACATAGGCTATAATGTATATTGGAGACTGGAGTTTATTCAAGAATACCTACGTAAACTAACACTAACTATACAATTTTTTTATTATTATTATTGAAACTTTGTAATATTACATGGTACTTCAACATTTCCAAAATAAATAATTATAAATGAATAGTTTTTAAAATGTTTTAACTTTTATGACTATTGAATTGGTGTACTGCGTTACTACTCTGTAATAAATAATAATCCATTTTCGTTGTATACTCTTTAAATAATACGGTAATACATACTTTAATCATAAATGATTAAACATATAGATGTGAGCAATAACTTACAAGATATTTTTTACACAATTAAAATTATTTAAATGTTAGTATATTATGCTGAGTAGGTATAGGTATAATACCTATACTGTACTAAATATTTAATATATAATAATATAAATTCAGTGTTGGGGAAGTTACTTATTTTTGGTAATTAAATTACATTACTAATTACTTATCAAAATTGTATCTTTTTCAAAATGTGTGTTTAATGGTGATTTGTAAGAATGAAATAAAAAAAAGACCGGAAAAACTAAGTTTTGAAGTTATTAATGAAAAACTTCAAAAAAACATTTTTTTTTCGTTACTCGCATTTTTAAAAAAAAAAATACTAAGAATATTAAATTTAAAAAATAACGCTCGGACAAAAATGTAGAAAATATTCCAAAAACACGAGTTCCTCCGCGCATCATTAAAGTAGTGCCCACATCGCAAACTTTAGATGGCTATAATTTCAAAACGAAGTTTTTCCAGCCTTTTTTTTTACATTCTTATAAAGCACACTAAAATACACATTAAAAAAAAAAAAAATTTGAAAAATCGATAGGTTTCTAAACCAGAATTATGCCCTTCCTTGTCACAAGTTTCATGTGAACGTGCGTTTTCAAAATTTTCAATTTTGAAAACAAAACTAAGATTGTCTATCAGTCAAGTACATCTTGAACCACTAATTACCTTAATTGTAGAAGAAGATTTAATCAAATTTATTCGAATATATGAAATCTCATCAAAAACACTCCGTGTAAAAACATCGCTAAGTCAAAATAAGCACTTAAATTACAAAAGTTGTGATATCAAAAATTGGCTAAGTAATTTTATAAATTCATTAATATAAAAATATTTATAACTGTTTGTATTTATTGTACCTTGTGAATTTATTTAGTGCAAATAATTTTACTTAGCTTGGCGGCTACTAGAAGAATGTATTTAAATATTTGTATTGCTCTATAATTTAACTATAGTAAAAATATGCAAAATGATGCGAATATTTATGTAGAAATCGAGACATTTGGGTTCTTAGTTATAGAGACATAAATAAAAGTAACTCTTCGCCGCCAAGCTAAGAAAAATTATTTGCATTATTTGTAAATAAATTCACAAGGTACAATAAATACAAACAGTTATAAATACTTTTATAACGAAAACGCAAATAAATTATAGTATTATACATTATTATATTTATAACACGAAAAAAAAATGTTACTTAAGTATTTACTTTTTAATCTTTACCAACAATGCTCTATTAAAATTTAAAAACATTTTTATTTGAAATCAAGAATAATTAATTTTAATTATTAACTCTTTAGTGCATTTCTAAATTGCTAAATTTACTACTATAAAAAAAAACAATATTATCAAAAACAATATAGAAAAATAACGTTTTTAAAAACGTTAATCAAAAACGAAAACGAAAAAATTAAAAACATTTTCCATCCCTGATTTAAACTGATTCATAACATTCTTATATAGTTTAAATAAAAAGAACAATAAATATGACTTGAATCGATTATTTGATATTATCAACTATATTACTATCAATATTATTAGATTCTGAGCAGAGTGAAGGATCTATTGGTTTTTCAATATTGTTTATATTTATTTTTATTTTATATCCTGCATACAAAATTTCTACCAGAAGGAGTTCTTCGCTTATAACATATAGTATATCTTTTCTTTGTAGCAAATTTTATCAAGATGGTACTTTAGAGAGGTAATTTTTCAATTTTCTCAATATTTATTTAATGACATATTACAATTTCACCGACAAATTTCAAAAACCGCTAAAAATGAGATTTCAATTTCTAACACTTTGATCACCATAGTAACAAATAAAATAAAAATAATGATTTTAATTATTTTATCGTTATTTATAATATTAATTCAACTCACAGGCTATAATAAAATATAATTACAATATAAAATATCCAGACTGACAAACCGTCTCCGCTCAGAATCGTTTTTCGAATACAATGATATGATATCATTGAATTCAAATTTAATACAATCCATTATACAGTGACCAACTATTGTAATCTACTGTACAGCAGAGCGACATCCACTTACCCGCTTTTTTAATATTCATTATTATAATATGGGAGTTGTGAGGCAAAACCCTTACGGCTTATTTTGAAACCATTTTTTTCATCCCCCTTGACAACAAACAATGATACTAGCATAGACATGATTATTGTAATAGTGTACTTTAGAAGTTTCAAGTACTCACGAATAATATTATACAATCACAACAAAATAACTAAAATAGTTATTCTAGGTTTTTATTATGTAATTTCGTCCAAATTTGAACTTAAAATGATTATAAAAATAAACTGTGTCTATGTATATTTTAGTTTTTTTGGTAACAGAATTAACTACTTACGTGGAATCTTGTTTTAAATTTTCAATCCTTAGATATAAAATTTGAACATCTTATGCAGTTTTAACTACAATATAATTATTCAATTTTAAATTTGATAAATGTTGTCAAAATTCGATCTTTAAATGCTTATAAAAAAAATTGTGCATATATATTTTTAATATTTTTCAACTGATATTGTAACAATAAATCAGAAGCCTTGTATTACATTTTTACACTTTTTGGCCTAACAGATAAAACTTTATTGATATTTATAGAAAAAAAAACTAAAAAAATTGGAAAATGAAAATGTCCGTAAACAGCTCAAAAAGAGTCAACATATTTTCAAAATTGTATGGTGTATAGGAAATGCTAATATAAACATTCAGTAAAATTTTCATGTATCCAAAGTTATTCGTTTTTGAATTACATCAAAATAAGAAAATCGCTACATGAGAAATTGAGTGAATATCCAATGATGTAAAAATTTGAGTTTCAAACGCTCATAAAAATTTAATTTGACTTTCTTATAGTCTTTTTTTTTTTTGATTAAGGTAGATAATTTTATAAGGAATCTTGTATTACATTTTAAAATCTTAGATTTAAAAAGAAAATTGTTTACGAATTCTTAACTCAAATAATTTGCTAATTTTCGTGATTTTTCCATATTTTGTCAATTTTTGAACTTTAATTATTTCTAATTAATACTGAATGGTAAGATGTAGCTGAAAGCTTAAATAACTAAATCAGTGCCTATGGATATCGTTTTAAGAAGATAATATTATTAATAAAATAGTTTTCGTTTGATAATCAGGAGGCTCGTTCTGATGATGAACCAAATCATTGGTGTCTTGGACCTTGGTTACATACTTTGTAGTTTGCCCGAATTATTATTACTTTTTGAAAAAAAAATGTTGTCCACTAGTAAGTTTACGTTGTATGAAACATCTTGTATTACATTTTCAAGCCTTACCTATATCTACAAATTTAAATTTTTTTAAGTTTTGAACTCCAAATTAACTGTTTTTGTCAAAATTTGAACTTAAAAGCATACCCCCTGGTAAGATAATCCTAGGAGAATCATACCCCCCGGTAATATAGTCCTAGGAAAATTATTCTCAAGGTAAGATAATCCTAGGAGAATCATACCCCCCGGTAATAGAGTCCTAGGAAAATTATTCCCCCGGTAAGATAATCCTAGGAGAATCATACCCCCCGGTAAGATAATCCTAGGAGAATCATACCCCCCGGTAATATAATTCTAGGAGAATCATACCCCCCGGTAATAGAGTCCTAGGAAAATTATTCCCCCGGTAAGATAATCCTAGGAGAATCATACCCCCCGGTAAGATAATCCTAGGAGAATCATACCCCCCGGTAATATAATTCTAGGAGAATCATACCCCCCGGTAATAGAGTCCTAGGAAAATTATTCCCCCGGTAAGATAATCCTAGGAGAATCATACCCCCCGGTAAGATAATCCTAGGAGAATCATACCCCCCGGTAATATAATCCTAGGAGAATCATACCCCCCGGTAAGATAATCCTAGGAAAATTATTCCCCCGGTAAGATAATCCTAGGAGAATCATACCCCCCGGTAAGATAATCCTAGGAGAATCATACCCCCCGGTAATATAATCCTAGGAGAATCATACCCCCCGGTAATATAATACTAGAGTTAAAAGTATCATTGTTTTAAATTTAAACGTATTTGGTCCTCCTATAGGCTATAATTAACTATTTGTTTGATTATAATATTATAGCTGTTGTATTTTATGATGTTTCGACCATGGGAAACCGAAAATATGAACACCTCGGCTGTACTGAAGACTCCCGAAATACCTGAAAAAATTGTAGTTAAAGAAACTAAATGCCCTGAGCCAATTAATTTGAGATCAGTTTTGGCTTACTTGAAAGGTCAGGGATATCCTAGCTATATCCATAGTAAAAATGATAAATCTAACTTTCGAAGACAAACCAAATCATTTTATTTGTCCGATGACGTTTTATATTATAAAAAAAATTCCGTCTGTGTTATATTCGACGAAGAACAAAGACAAAGTATTCTGAAAATGATTCACGAGGGTTCTGAAGAGTCGATAGAAGCTGTTGCGCTGTCAAGTCACCGTGGTAGGGATGCGACTATTAATATGCTTAACCAACGTTGCTATTGGCCATCTATTACTTCAGACGTAAAATCATTTATTAAAGAGTGTGATATATGTCAACGGGTTAACCCAGCAACATTGAAAATAGTGCCTGAGTTGCATTCCATTCCTATACCTAAAAAGGTTAGTATTACTTTTTATTTATACAAAATTACTGATATTTTCAGAATCTAAAATTTAATTAGACTAATACAGTTCATCATACAAAATATTTTTAAGGCTCCAGTAGTATGATTAATGATTTATTCGAAACTTCTAAAGGCCATTTTGAGATTTAAAATTCATGATTTTGATGACATATATATTTTAAAATGAATTATTAAATATGTTAATAACCATTTTTTTTTCTAAATTTAGGTTTTTAAACAAATAGGAATCGATCTTATAACTTTACCGGAAGTAAATGGTTTTCGATATGTAGCTGTAGCGATAGATTATTTCAGCAAATGGTGTGAGGCACGACCCCTTACAGATAAAAAAGCTGTTACAGTTGCTCGTTTTATATACGATGAAATTATATGTCGACATGGTTGTCCTAAGGTGGAAATAAGTGATCAAGGTAGAGAATTTTGTAATCAGCTATGTGAAGAACTATTTCGTATGACGGGAACCTCACATAGAGTCACATCACCCTATCATCCTCAAGCAAATGGACTTGTTGAACGGTTTAATAGAACAATAAAAAATTCGTTACTTAAAGTTGGTACCTACAAAAATTTTGATTAATTTAAACCAAAAATAATTAATTAAAAAAATAATTTTGTTTTGTGTTTAGATTCATCTAGAAAATGTACTCAAGTGGCCAGATGTATTGCAAGGAGTTCTATTTGCTTACCGAACTGTGCCTCATACTTCTACAAAATATTCACCATTTTATGTTCTATATCAGAGAGAAGCTGTACTTCCAGTAGATATACAACATAACTTAGAAGAAGATAGCGTGTATGATAATGTTTTTATAGGAGATTTTGATGAAGAACAATTTGAAGAAACATTGAAATGCATGCTATCAATGAGAGGTATACACATTAATACTTAAAAACTAATATTTTAAGGCGTAGGTTATAGATACTATTTTTACACAGTTAAAATAAGTTTATAACTAGTGTAAATCTCTATGTCTCATCCACATAGTGAAATCACTTATTTCATGAACTTTGACGAAAATACATTATATATGGACATTCATTTCATGAAATAGACAATACTTCTATTGTATACTTTGTGACTTGTGTAATTATTATAAAAAAAAAATTTCGTTATTTAGCAATAAATATATAATTAATATTATAATAAACTATACTGCTTGTGTGTTTTGTATGTAACACAGATACGAGGTACTATTGTGTTTGATATTTCGTGTGTTACGAAAATCTTTTTGATAAAATAAAATAATTTCTTATTATTAAAATCCATGGAGGTAATGTGAAATTACGAAATGTGTTACATAATTAAATGATACGTATTATATTCTTAGACCACCATTCCATAAGACAATACAGAAAAGTATAGATTATTAGCATAAGTATGAAGTAATTATTTATTGCTAAATAACATAAAATAATGTGTTTTATAGTAAAAAAAACTACCCAAAGTATACAATATATTCTACATTTCATGAAATGGATGTACATATTATAATATATTTTCATCAAAGTTCACGATCTGGACGAATTTCACTGTCTGGATATCTAATTCATGAAATATTTCTGCACTATTTGGATGCAAGATTTATAACCATAGATTAGCTGACCCTAATATTTTACAAATATTCGACCAACAAAATCCATATCCATGCATAATGCATATGAATAGTATCTATCCATTTGTCTGGAATCATTTATTATATAATAATAATTATTATTTAGAGTTGTCATTGGTCTGCAGTTACAGAAACTAAACGAGTTTTTATTTAAACAATGTTAGACAAAGACATTTAAATAACTATCTAAAATATTATTGATTCGTTTGCCGCATCTAAAACATCTAGAACAGAAGGGTGTTTATGGATTTCAACATCTAATTTTTTACTTTTTTTTTAGTGCTAAGCTATTTATTTATTATTTTGACTAATAAACCAAATTTAATTATTTTTTTTAATCAAAAATAAATTTAATAACTAATACAAACATATGTTATATTATTCTAAAATTCTGTATAAATAAAATTCGTGCTTTTCCTCCAAAATATCTGGCTACGGTACTAAAAATAGTATAATAGTGATGTTAGTATTTTTAAATGTTTCAGGTTGGTAGTAGGTTAGGTTAGGCTGGTCTTTTTTAAATAATTGGGATTTGCTTTAGTCATGGACAACAGTTATAATATTCGTGTCATGTTCACATGGAAATTTTAAATTTGTTTATTGTTTGTCAGGTGAAGTCAACTAATATAGGAAGTAGCCAAGTAGTATAGGTACATAATATGGTGTCTACTTAAAAAATCTAATTTCAAATCATAGAAAATTGTACATGCAAAATGATAATTCAGTTTAACAATTAATACTAAAAATATTATACTATTATAAGGTTTAATGATACTTAGGCTGGTTCTTAGAGCTTACGTATATAGTTAAATTTTAAGTTATAAGTAAACTAAACAACATTTATTTGGTCTCTTCTTTCCATTAAATATTTTATAAAAATTACATATAAAAATAAAACTATAATTTCAAATATTTAGTTATGTTTAAAAAAATAAAATATCTTAACATTTAGATAAACTTCAAGATAAAGTGGAAGAAAATATCCTAGATGCACAATCAGCTCAACGAAAATCATACGCGAAAAGACACCCATTAGCTGAGAATACATTTAAAGTAGGGGACAAAGTGTTAGTAAAAAATCTCCGACGTGATGACAGGAAAGGAGGATGGGCCTCGATGCCATGGCTGGGTCCATTCACTATCCATGAAATAATCAACAACAAGATATGTCAGTTAAAAAATGATGTAAAAGTATTAAAAACAAAAGTTTTAATAAGTAATATGAAAAAATATTTTGAATCTGACGGTCAAAAATTGAATGAAGATATTTATGTAGAAGAATTGAAGACAAGCGAAAAAAGTATAATGTCACGAAAAGATATAATCCCCACCGGTTCAAAAACCAGGATGTTTTATCCAGTGGGTAAAACATGGCAGCAGACAAAATGCAGAACATTAAAATTAAATTTCAGCCAACAAGTAACAAATGAAATTATACTTGCAAAATTCTTGACGGTTCCATCTGAAATTAAAAACATTGTTGGAGATGGAAACTGTTTATATAGATCTTTATCGTATTGGATAACGGGAGACGAAGATTATCATTTTGCCATAAGACAACATGTTTGTGAGGTAAAAAAAAATTATACTTGTATTTATTATCATATTATAATAGACATATATTTAAATACTATTTTCAGATTGTCAAAACAAGTTCAAATATCGAAAGATATATAGGGGGAAAGGAAAACATGAAGAAATATTTGGAACAAAAAACAATAGAAAATGATGGTAATATAAATGTATAACCATTTTGTAAATCAATATTTTTTTTCAAACAAATACAAGTCAAATTAACGTATTTAAATAGTTTTAGTGTTGTAAAAAGAATTACATTTTTTTTTATGAGCAACTATTATGAACGAAATCGTCTGTCTTTTATTTCAGCTGTGTGGGGTACTGACGTAGAAATATTTGGTGCCGCAATTTTATTAAAAACGTCGATCTACGTTTATATGACTGCCACAAGTGAATGGCAGTTATTCAACAAAGACATAACCATGAAAAAACCAATAAGGAAAACAGAAAAATGTTTATACATTAGAAATTTTAATAATGTACACTACGATGTAGTAATTAACGTCGAATAGTAACAAGTTCTAAAGATATGTTTTTTTGTTTATTTTCGTCTTAAAGCATAAGGCATGATAAAATTATAATGACAATAAAGGTTTTGTTTGTTAATAATTTATTAATTTTATGTATTTATTCAAAATCCATGTTAATTCTAGTAGAATTCTGTACTTTTTTCTCACAGGAAATATTTAATCAAACTTACTTGGATCAACACAAACCTTAGATATCTGTTGAATGTTGATACAAAAACCTTTTCCATTTACCCCTAGTGACTAGTAAAATTATATTACTGCAATCTCACCTACAGTACAAATTTACCCCCGGATAATCTAACCGGTGGGGGGTATAATTATCCTAGTATAATCGTACCCCCCCAGTAACATAATCCTAGGAAAATATTACCTATTAGAGGGGTACGATTGTCTTAGGGAAATGTTACCGGGGGTACGATAATCCCAGGATTAATCTTACCCCCGGTAACATTTTCCCAGGAAAATCGTACCCCCGGTAACATTTTCCTAGGAAAATATTACTCCCTTAAAGGGGTACGATTATCCTAGGAAAATGTTACCGGGGGTAAGATTATACTGGGAAAATGATACCGGGGGTATGATTATACTGGGAAAATGTTACTGGGGGTACGATTATACTAGGATAACTTTACCCCCCCCCGGTAAGATTATCCGGGGGTACGATTATCCTATTACACCGGTACACGCGTGATGTGGCGAAACATCATGCCCAATTATACGCTAATGGTAAATGGTGGAATACAGAGTGGTCCATTTAACGCGCTAAATTTATTTAATCAGTTTAAGTTTAGAAAGAGTGAACAAATAAAAAGTTTAATTAGTTTTTATTTTATCGACAGTTAAGTTTTTATACTTTCTTTAGAACAGAAAACACTTGGGTACTTTAATAGTATAATACTCTGACGCAGAAAGATCGTCTAACAACTTAGAATTAGTCGACAGACATAAAAACAAGTAACTATAAATGTTGAAGTTTAGATGAGAAGAAGAGTGAAGGGTAAATAAATATATGTATGCCCCCAATGTCCCATGAACTTTAAATGTTAATAAACCATTACGATGAGATAAATACATAAACGTTTCATGAAAATTGTTCTGCATCAAAATAAATTTAAATTATTATTACAGGAGTGTCGCCAGTGGGCGGCTTCTCCACCATATCTTCTGACAGTAACCTTATTGTAATGTAATAATTTAAGCTTATTATACAAAATATGAATAGATTAAAATCAAATAAAGTACGGGAAAAAAATATTATTCGATGTAGAGTGGTTAAGATTATAAATTTGTCAGACACTGCAGAGCAGTGGCAGTAGTTACTGGTTTGTTAGAAAAAACCATTTAATTTGTTTGAAAAAAATTCAACTGCACAATAATTTTGCTATAGGTAGTAACTAGTAAGTACATACAGACTTTAATATAGAAACTGAATTGTATATAAAAAATGTTTGAATTTATACCAGGAAAACATGCACCTCATTTTAACACATTGGTCGACAGAAATATAATAGCATTATACTATTATGACTTATGAGTCTAAAGGACATTTTTATTTTGTTTTACAAATGTATAATATGGTTTAGGGTATTATTTAGCACCAATAACATTTCAAAATATTTGTATAGAAATATACAATAACAATTGTGAAATATTCATAAACCTTGACTGAATAATGATTTTCATTTGTCAACTATATGAACTGAAAAGTTTGAGAGTTAAAAAAAACCGAAAGTTTTCATAAAAGTTCCTAATATAGAAAATATTCGTTGTGACTATCTTTACTGATTAACAATAATATAACGATAAAACATACAAATAATACTTTATTTAATCTACTGACACAGTCAACCGAAAAATGCGATATGGGTTGTATTTTGAAAAAAAGATTGAAAAACCCTTTTTGTCAAGCCTGCACCGAAAGTTTAGATTTCGATAACGGCTGAAGCGTTTGCAAGCAACCTTTTTCCGTCAAGCGGGTGGTAAAGTGGGAATTCCCATAATGCTGAGTGGTAAAACGGAAATCCCAAATAGGGTCAGGCGGTAAAGTGGAAATCCCCTGAAGTGCCAGGCGGTAAGCTGGAAATTCCTAAAAGTGCTGGACGCATCCCCTGCGCAACGCAGAGGAGTGACAAAAAATAATATGTGTGGCTCGTGAGGGAAGGAAATTTCAGTCTTGGATGAAATGCGGACTTCGCCCGCGGCTCGTGCCGCACACGTCGCCAGCGACTGAAATAGCTCATTTCCCACCCTTACCACCCTTACCGCCCTTACTGCCCTTACATAATAAACTATTAATGATTGATTTTATGTGTGATGGTTTGAAAACGATGAAATTTTATTTACATAGATGTCTTATTTTGGGGGCTAAAAAAATGTGTGTTATGAATAATGCAACGTTTTTGATGCACTTTCTGTGGTGACAATTATCAGAATTCTTGTTTCTATTAGATCCTTACCCTCATTATTACTCATTTACAGGTCGGTACATGAACCATCTACTTTGAATCAATCGTCATCGACATCGTCGTTGGTGGCTGAGAGTTCTCAACTAAGTCGTTGCCAAAAGAAGTTGATATTGAATCACAGAATGGCTGCAAATTATTGCAATTAATGTTGAACGTATTGATAATTGCAGGATAACTACCAACGGCGACACCTAAATATAACAATAATAAAAACAAATTCCAGATAAATAGTTTTCCTTAATTATTGTACTAACCAAGAAATAAAAGTCCCAAGATCTTAAACAAGGATTAAAAATGGTGTTTCGAGTTTTTATTTCTTATTTTGTTGATGTTTCTATACGGACAACATTATTGCTATGGTGTAATATTGTAGTACAATAAAATAAAATAATAATAATTATTGTTACAATAATATTGATATAATATTTAACTAACAGTTGCGTATATAATATTAAAGTAAATATTCTTAGTTTGGATTTATATTGAATTCTAAGTCGAGCAAGTATGGTTTTAAATTTAAAATTAAATTTTAGAAGGATCGTCGTTTCAACAATTTGGAACCTAAAGAAATCAGCATTATAATATCATTTAAAGTTTTATAAAATTTAATTTTAATGGATTTAACAAGTATTAGATATTATTATTATTATTATTATGGTTCGTGTTGTAATGAGAGGGTGCAGGATTATTGATCGAAATCAGCATGACAGCTGTATTCTTCACTAGTTCACTATAATATAATTAATACACTATAATACGAACAGTGTGTTGTTACTGACGAGGATACAATAATACAAACATTGAAATACAATTCTAATGTGATCTAGATTTCTAGTTGTATCAAAACAATATTTCTGCTCTAATATTTATTTTACACAATAAACCGTTTGTAATTTGTATCTATAATAGTATAATACATTGGTTTAAAATATGTTTATACTTTTATAGGCGATCCATTTGACACGTCATATTAATTACACTAATTTTTTTATTTATTTATCATCTCCCTATACGACATACATAGTAATCATACCTGTAATAATATTATTATAGTGAATTCATCTTGTACCAGATGATCCATTTAAGTGTCTACGCTCTTTATTTCGAAAAGTTTTAAGTTTTTTGAAAAAATTATTTTTTAAATATACCAATAATTTGATGTCATTCCATAACAATATTTCTGAAAAAAAAATGTTTTTTTTAACTTTTTGGTGTTACAATGGTATTTATTTTTTATCCTGTATGCAAAAAATTTCTACTAGCAGGAGTGCTTCGATTTCAACATATAGTATCTTATCTTTTAAAAATTTGGAACAAGATGGTACTTTAAAGATTTAATTTTTCAATTTTCTCAATAATTATTTAATTCCACGGTATAAACCACCAACAAATTATGAAAAACCGCTTAAATAGTATTTTAATTTCTAACGCTTTGTTTATCACCATAGAAATGAATCAAAAAATAACGATTTTAGTTATTTTGTTGTAATTTATAATACTAATTCAACTTATAGGCTATAATAAATAAATAATAACAATATAAAATAACCAGAATGACAAATCGTCTCCTCTCAGAATCGTTTTTCGTATACAATGATATTATAATAAATATCATTGAATTCAAATTTAATACAATCCATTATACATTGACCCATTTGTAACATACTGTACAGCAGAGCGAGATCCCTTTACCCCATTTTTTATTCTTAAGCAGAATATTATTTGGAGTTATTTAAACTTAAAAATTTATAAAGAATACATTTCGGCCAAGCAGTTAATTAGATATAAATTATAATTTAACTTGTAAACATTTAAAGTTTAGATAAGCGGAGTAGGGACTATAGTGGACAATATTTCCCTGTACCAATCAACTTCGTTCATCTTAACTTTAAATGTATATAACTACTGAACTACGTATCTAAAAATGTATCTTTATATATTGAAATATCCCAAATAATATTCGGCTTCGAAATACGAAATTCAAATAGTATGATGTCATTCGAAAAGGTAAACAAATAATAACGATAAACAATAGTAAAAATATCATTTTTTTATTCAGAAAAGTTTTTTTGAAATGACATCGAATTATGGGAAAAGAATATTTTCAAATAAGTTTAAATTTTTTGAAATAATAAGTGTAGACACTTAAATGGATCATTCTGTATATACTATAAC